ACCACATCCAGCCTGGCTTTGAATCTCTCCAGGGGTGGCACATCCATTCTTGCATTGTACTGAAATGCAGCCATGTGTGTATACTGAAAAGATACAGACTTCAGTGTTAGTACACGTGCTCTGATGATCAGAAATTGCTCCTTATCTGAAGTCTGAATTTGCCCTAATCCCACAGTGAAGGAACAGAAATGGCATGAAAGTTTGCTTTTGGGGCTTTTGAAACAAAATGTTAGCAGCTTGCATCTCTTTTGGAATTGACTGTGCTTTGTGGGGTCCAAATAGTTGAAGTATTTTGTCCAGGCACCATCAGTTGCTGTCAGCTGCTGAACAAGCAACTATGTGGAAGAGCTTAATGGCTGATTTTTTCCAACTGCTTATAGCGAAGGGCAATTGGCATGCAAATAAAGAGATAAACCTTATGTTAGCTAAAAAGTTATGAAAAGGTTATGTTACGTAAGGTAATGTTTGACACTCCATTATCTCATTAAATTAAATGACAGGCAGATTGATTTTATTTCTTGAATGCAGTATCAAAGGTGATTTAAGTGAGTTTTACTGCATTTCTGGATGAGTTAGTTCAGGTTGATTGCTCTATGTGCTGTTTGGGAATTGTTTGTGTATTGTAGGTGTGTACATAATCCTCCAGCTATGCCAACATGTTTTATAATAAAACTTTACACCCAAATTACAGCTATATAGCGTTAGGGGCTATTCTTTTCTTCTTATTGCCTCTCCAGCCATGCATCCAATGCACGCAAAGTGATTTCTTGGCTTGGGAGACTTAAGACCATTGGACCACCAAAGAGATGTGAATTAAACACAGTGCAAGTAATGGCAGCTTTCGTGTACCATATCAAATCAGAAAGAAAAATGCAGAGCCTCTCAAATATCAGACTTTGGGGTTTGATTCATTCAGTGGGTCTGTGACCTGACAAGGCAGTATGATTAATTGCACACATATTCTCTCAGAGGTTTTCCCTCTCATGCTTTCTGCAGCAAAGATTGTTAGCTTGACAGATCAGTGCAGCAACTTCTTAAGATGCCTAAAAGGGAAAGGGTTGGTTTCTGATTGAGAGTTAATGGAGGAATAGCAGCTGCTCCATGCTGGGGGGGAGGGATGGGGGGGGGGGGGGGGGGGGGGTGTGAGAAAAAAAAGAAAAGTAGCTTTTGATTCTCAGAGGAATCACACACAGAAGTAAGCTGACTTTTCGATAACAGCAGCTATAGGATTTCTGTCGGGGATTGCAAGAAAATATGCACACGATACAACAGGCTTCATGGTTATGAATTCTGCGCTTCCTTTCATCTGATTACCTAAATATAAGCCATGGCCTGAGTGTTTTCTCTTGCTATTAAAACACTCTCCCAGGTGTCTCCTCTTCCATGCATTTACCTTTGGGTTTAAGATACTTTTGGCCATTTAGGCTAAAGTTTGCAGAAACTCAGATTCACCAGGCAGCTCCCGTATTTGCAGAGCTGAGGAAAAGTACTTGAACAGCACCATCCTTCCATTAACAGGCAATCCACACTGTCCAAGCATCGTACCAGACCACACAGGTGTTGAACACACAATTTAAAATAGTTTTAATTTTTCAAGTAAGGCCTAAACCCCTAGAAAACTGCATTAGGCACTTCCTCAAGGTTACTTAATCTCTAGAGCTTATCTGTGAAAGGGTTTTAAACATTAACCAATGTTTCCTTTTCACATTTTCCAGCTGGACTGTGATGAGATAACACACACTCAACAGATCCTTTCATGTAGTGGGTGAAATGAGCTGAGATGCTTGATGGCTCTCTGCAGACATCCCTGCTCCTGTGGGAATGACATGGAAGCTTTGGCTTGGGAGCAGAGGGCTCCCAGAGGCAAACAGCAGCCAGGGAAACCCTAGGACTGGGGTGGGCAGGAACTGGCTAAGCCAAGGCAGCAGATGCATGGGGAGCTCTGTACCCTCACACCTCACAGACATCTTTGCCTTGATCTAGGACAAATGCCTCAAAACACACATGGAAGTGTGAGTCTGGAAGCTGAGCCCTGCACTTAACCTTTGCATCGCTCTTCCTGGCTTGCATCTTGTGGCCTTATCTGCAGATCACGATATCCATTCAAATCCAGCAGATTTGTGCCAGAGCACTGACAAAGGGATATGTGTGTAGCAGAAAAGACAGGTAATGATCTTTAAAAATACCCCTGGATACCCCTACAACATCCCTCTTAGGCTCCAAGTATTTAATTCAGCTCCTTGTTCAGTAGATTTTCTAACACACTGTGAAATGTATTTCTAATAGACGGTGGGTGCTACTGGCGATACAGAAACACACAAAGCAGGACAAGCGTAAACAAAAAATGCTCCTATCACTTCAATTTTTAAAAAGAGCCTAAGAAGCTAGAGAGGTACTGTATAAACAAACTGATTTAATTGCACAACATGAAAGGGAAGGCAGGTCTTACTGAAACAGAAAGGCACAACAAAATTCCTCGAAGCAATGGCATATATTGGATAAACTGCACAGGCTGATTCTGCACATGGCTCTGCAAAGAGCAGCTGCTCTGGCTGCAAACATGCTTCAGAGCAAAACACAAAAAACTGGAAATCATAGAATCATAGAATAGTTAGGGTTGGAAAGGACCTTAAGATCATCCAGTTCCAACCCCCCTGCCATGGGCAGGGACACCTCGCACTAAACCATGTCACTCAAGGCTTCATCCAACCTGGTCTTGAACACTGCCAGGGATGGAAATCAGTGAATAATCCTCTAGAGGGAAATCCCCAGCTTCCACGATCAAGTGTGGGGATTAGAAAGACATTTCCAAACCAGTGAGGTGCAGGCTGGGACAGAAGAGAGAATTTCAGGACGTCCTGTTAGCATCACATACCAGGGAGACACTTCTTCCTTCCCTTTGCATGCCAGTTCAGATGTTTAACTTGAGATGTTCATCTCTCTGCAGAATCATTCCTTATCATGTCTGTAACCATTACTTACTTCCAGAGGCCTTCGCAAATGGCATTTCTAACAGATTTAAAGATATGATTGCTGATCAAGTGAGCTGCAGCAGCTCAATTCACTTCTTGTCTTTTGCTCTGAGAACCAGATGACCGATTCAGCCACAAAAGCTTCTGGAGCAAAGCCAGAGGGGATTTGGTTAATCCCGATTTGTGAGCCCAAGCTACTGGTTTAAAAATTGTTAGCGAATTTATCTCACCATGTATTTCCTTCTCCCTGGGGAAAACAAAGGATATATATGTGTAGAAAATCAGGGTTATTCCCTTTATCTGTAAGAAGTTACCAAGAGGAAATAGAGGAGGAGAACTTACCACCACCTTAACCAGATAATCAAACCACCCCACGGTGGCAGCTTTCAGTGATTTGCAGTGTGTGAAAAAGTAATATGTATTAAAATATACTGTAATTAACTCCCCCAGCCAGACACACAGGTGCGGTATTTCTGTGGGTTGCCGAGGCAAGAGAACTGCAGAGGATAAAAAAGAATCACAGAAAATGCAAGCAAAGTGAAACAAAACACCGTATTCTTTGCAGGACAGCACTTCCAGAAGTTGGCAGGCTTTCAGCCCAGATGCTGAGAGCTCACCACCTCTCTTCATCCAGTATATCCAGTGCTATTCCTTTCAGCAGGCTGGGGTGTAGAGTACCTGTATGAACCTAACAACAGGCACCTCCAAAGGGGTGGTGTTTAATGCAGGGAACCTGACATTTTTCATGCATTTTTAATCCACAGAACTGGAGGTGCCTGAACATGTGCAACCAACACCAGTTGGTTCTTTCCTACAGAGTAATTAGCCAAGAAGCATCAAGTTCCTGCCTCCACAAACAGATTTCCCTAACTTCCTTCAAAGGAACAGCTATCCCAGTGTGGACTGTGACCAGGGAACTCTCCAAAAGTCATAGAACAAGTAAGCAGGGAAGTGGGGAGCAACCTCCATTCGCCCTGCTGTACTCATCACAGAGCACCACAACGCCACGTGTACAAGGTTACAAGTTAAGAAGCCTTATGGAAATCAATTCTTAAACACACAATATGGTTAATCTGAGATGAACAGGCAATACAAGCATGTTTGTCACTGTGCCTTGTGCCTTGTTTGACACACAGGGTTTCAGGGTTTCAAATCTAATACTTTCCTCATTCTAAGGAAATACCTTTCCCATGTGTTAAAAGCTCAACAAAACACAAAGTACTTAAACATAACACTATCAGAGATTAATAAAATGAACAGTGTGGTTAGAACTGTGGAACTGTTGATGTAGATTAAAATGCTTGGCCAGTAATCACATGCTGACAGACTCATTTTCCTGACTGAGCCACATGGCTTTTCTTCTCTGGTGCACACGAACACTGCAAAGCCTGGTCTTAGGGGTGTCCAGGCCTGCAGGGGTGAGGACAAGTGCCACAGAGATACTCTGGTCTCTGCCACTGACTGTGTCATGCAGTGGATGTGCTCAGGGAAACTGCCAGAATACAGAAATCTTTGTACTGAGCGAGTGGACTAGGGCTGGTACTCCCATAATACACAGTGAGGAGCTGGGACAAGCAGGGAAAGGCAACCCAGCAAGATTCCATGCCCAGCCTTGCATTTTCTGGAGCATCTCCTTGAAGTGACCCTCAACGAAATTGGTGTCCTTGGCATGGGCAGCTCAGCAGCAAACACCCACAGCCCTACAAAGAGTTGATGTCCTTCTCCAGCCACCCCTGCAGCCATCCCTGGTGTCTGGTGACATACACCATACCACGGCTCACAGGCTCCCCTCAGCAGGCACTTCGGCACTCCACTGTTCGTGTCAGTCAATGGTAAAACCTATTCCTGTAAAACTCCTCCAAATCCCTGCTCCTTACAGCCTGAGAGCATTTTGGTGAAGAGAGTAACTGAGAGGGTCGAATTAAAACTGTAGGGTCTGAATACCACTGAGGCAGTAAAATTAGATGCACTATTTAATCACCATTTCCAGCACTTATTTAATTTTGTAAGTAGTATTTCTGAGAGATTTCTACATATCTTCACAGTGAACAGGCAATGATGAAGGACTCGGTTTAGACAGAAGTTAAAGTCTGAGTTTTAAATGAAAGTTCTACACAGTGAAAAAAAAAACAACAAAATCAGCACAAGGTTATTTTAGTCTTACAGCTTTTTCAAACAAAACAAAACAAAACAAAACAAAGGTTAAAAAAACAAAACAACCAAACTTTATTATTTTGGAAATACAGTCTATCAGTCTATCATAAAATGTTTAATTATTTACTATTAAACAATAGTAAAGATCACTTTGTAGAGATGAAATGAGCATCATCAAGGGCTTTTATAAACTGTCTCTCAATACCACTAGGAGCTGGGTAGCTGCTGTTCAGGGCTAACAGTGCACGGCGTATTTGGTGCAGTGTAGATGTTTTTTTGGTAGGATATATTTATTTACTGCCATAGCAGGAGAAGCAATTAGCTGACGTTTCATGGGGCAGCCTTCCAAGGGTAATCCTGAGGCAAGAGCAACTCCACTGTCAGGTGAGACACTGGAATGAGGCACAGCTGGGTGCCCCTGCAGAGACCTGCATGTGTGTCAAGCTGCCTCACTTGAGACCCTCTTGAAGGTTTTTCTTCTCCATCAGCAGCCTTGCCACTTACAAGTACTTCTTCTTTTTTATTGCCTCTGCCCTGACAGCCAAGCTCTTGGCACAGATGGTCAGGACCACTATGAGGACTCCAACCAGGAACGTAACTAGGGGCCAGAGGAAGCAGTGCAAGAGGACAGTCTCATCATGAGTGCGCTTCAGCATCACATCATCTGGCCTGTGAAGAGAAGGAAGAGAAGAGGTAGAGAATATAAATCAACTTGACATCATCAATTCATCATGAGTGGAAAGCATCTGCCATGGAAACAATAAAGATGTTTTATGTGCAACAGTGTTAGAAAATGATTAAGTAGACTGTTTCATTCACTGCTTTCTTCTGCGCATCTATCACCAGCACTTGTGGCAGGCCACGAGGGCTTTTCACTTGCAGTGTTTACAGGATAACAAGTTCATTCCGTTAAATAAATGAATGAATGAATAAATAAATTTTATATTTTATGTCTCCCAGGGGTTGTGGTCCTCAGAAAGAGGATGCAATATAAAACTGTGGACTGGAAAACCACTCCAGCAAAAACATAATACCAGGCAGCAGTTATACATACCTACCTCAAATACCATCAGACATTGTGCAAAGAGTTTAAATTGCAGTTAAAGATTCCCTTTTAGCTTTGGGCACTGATTTGTCCATGGAGCAACATAGAGGCCCCTGACAAAGCCCTGGCTGTGGTTTGGCTCTGGATAGAGAGCCAGTCCTGTCCTCAGCACTGCACTGGTGGTGGCCCAGGCTGGAGTCTGCACAAAACCTACTGTCAGGATGACTCCTGCCCAGCCTCTGGGTATCAGAGGCTCCCGACTCAGCTCCTTCCAGCAGAGGTTTCTTCAGGAATAAGCTGTGATTTGGTACTGCAAACACCAGCTCCTCAGTGGGCTTGAGGATGCTCCTACAGGGACACTTTGGGAGCCATCCCTGAAGATCTGAAACCCCCCCCCCATGCTTCCAACAACAGCAACTCAGTCATGGCTGAGTCTGTGACAGATATATGCATTTCCAAAGGGAATCAGAGGGAGGATAATAGCAAGGAGGAGGCATCTCAAGAGGTCTGGAAATTCAGCTGTGCCACCCATATGTGTCTTCCAAGTCTGGGAAGTTTGCTGGGAATTCTGATGGCAGGTTTTCCTCAACTCTGTCTCTTTCTGCTTTACTGCAGTGTGACAGTTATTAAATCAGTCCTGTAGCATTTGCATTTCACCGTTGCTTTCCCATCTATAGCCAGAGACATGCAGTCTGCTGGAAAACTATATGCAAAGGAAGGAAACAGAGCTTTCTCTAATTAGGAAAATATGTAAGTCTTGGCTTATACTGGTCCTTACTTACACTGAATATTCCCATTCCATGTTGCTTTATCAACACTACCTCACTCTCCTGAGCAACAAACCTAAAATCCTGGCAACCCAGGCTCATGAAGCTGGGTCCTGGGAATTAAGTTCTCTTAAGCAGTGGCACATGGGAACAGATACCTGAGCAACAACTGCGAAACTGCAGTTTCATTTTGATAGAAAGTAGCACTAAGAAAACATCTCCTGTAGAGGAAACAAGAAATTCATTTTCCTTCACCAAGAAGTTAATTATTGGAGATGCCTGCAAATCTACAGGGGTTTATCCATCCTTAAGGAGTCAGAGGAGCCAGACCACCAGGCTGTTCCTGAACCCTGATTTAATTGAACCTGCATTTGCATTTGGGGGTCTCTCCTTCAAAAGTGCTGTGTGGAGGTTCCTCTGCACCGTGCCAGCCTGCATGTCCCCAGGGCCAGCAGCACCGCGCGTCTCTGTTTGTGTAGCAAGGAGCACAGTCAGACTCTGATTAAGAGCAGCTCCGCTATATAAAAGTTGAAACTCAGCAACATAAAAAGAGATCAAAAGAAACCCAGGTGTATTCAATAGTGGAATACGTGAAGTCTGCTCAACCCAAACCCTCCAGACACATAATCAGGCACATGTGGAGACCATAAATTGAATAAAATAATATTAACTTTATGGGCACACACTCACCAGCCTATGCCATATAAATGACAGCACCCAAAGAGAAAACATCCTTCCACAGGAGGTATAGTATTGCTTCCCTCAGTTTTACTGTACCATCATCTGTGTATAGCAGAGTGCTAATTGGGAAGGAGGCTGTAAGGAGGCAGCTTTCAATCCTTGCAGCTCTTGGCTTACAAGTGAAGTTGATTTTTAAATATTCTTTCTAAAGCAGATACTAATCAAAAAGTTCATGCTGTGCCCTGCAAGCAGGGTGACGGGGTTAACCCCCAAGTTTTCTCTTGCTCTTTGGGTAGGGAGACACAAGGGAGTCACTGGTAGGTCCCATGCCAGCAGCCAGGATCTGGCATGGTGGGAACTGTGAGTGAGGGCCTGGCTAAGTACCTGCAGAATAATCATGCTTGTGTTTGTTTCCAGGTGATCTGTGTCAGGCTACAAACCATAGGTGTTTCATGTGAGATCTTTACGGTCTGAAACAAAAGACTGGTGAAAAATTAGGAGGTAGAGGAAGTTAGGATCAGAATTAATCAGAAGAATTAAATAGAGCAAAGTCATCAGTGATAAATTAACAGGTTAGGCTGCTGAGGCTGGATTTCACTTCTTCCACCTGTTTGGTACCCGCATGTGATGGCATCAGTTTAGGGGAAGAGCTCCTGAAGGTGAATTCATGAATTCTCGGGCAGAGCAGATCTGCCACCACCACCGTGGGAGCCTCCTAAGGAACTGGCGAGGGGCACAGAGCAGCTCCCCTCCAACATCTGAGCTTGCGATGTTTGGGTACATTCCCTAGGACAACTCCCAAGCAATCCTGCAACAAACCCTGCTGAATAAAGAGCAAAATCTGCTTGTAGAAAGTACCCAGAGCAGCAGCCAGGACTGCAGAAGCCCTGCTTGGCCCATGGAACACATCCATGCTGCTGGGCAGCTTACTGCAGTTTCCTTCTTGGGGCTGAGCTTGTTAGCAGGGCATGACATCAGCTCTCCTCTGGGACCAGTGAAAACTGGATCTGTTGTGGTACAAAACGCTTTGGCTTTCACTCCAAGGCTCACACAGTCATTAATACAAGAGAGCTGCCCCACAAGTTTTTGAATCGGAAATATGCATCCAGAGATACTTGTCTTGCCAAGCACAGATGGAGAGGATCACCAAGAGAGCAAAGTCACTGACATCAAGCCCTGAGGTTTATGGGGCCTGTCACAGCTATTTCTAAGCCATGAGATAGTCACGATGGCTCTGCCGTGGGACAAGAGTAGCCAGAGCTAGGCTATGCCAGCAAGGCAGAGCCCTAGTGCAGTGCTGCACCATTATGGAGGTGATGAGGAGTTCAGAAACCAAAGGCCTTCGTGTAAGGCCTTCAGAAGAATGAGCCTTTGGTGGTTATCACCTGCCCATGGAACAGAAGCACACAACAGCAGGAAAACACTGTTCACCTGGGAATGCTAGATACAGGCCAAAGGAACAGAAACTCTTATCAATAGCAGAAGCAAGGAGACCAGGAGCCTGGAAAGGAGCCACAGAGCTGCTGCAGGAATGGCAGGAGCATCAGAGGAGGTTAACAGGCCTGGGCAGAGAAAACAAGGGGATGGTGGCAGGAGGAAGGAAGAAAGATGTGTTTAATAGGAAGCAGCAAAAAGAAGAGAAGAAAGAGGGCTGTACTTGCACAGAAAACAGCCCCTTTCCTCAGGAAGGGAAGTAAATAGCTATGCGATGCCCAAAACACAGTAACATGCTGTTTGGGTTTGCCCAGCAAGATCAGCATGTATCGAAACTGCAGTTTTGGCTTTCTCTTGCTACTTTTGTAGAGGTGACCTGCCAGTTCCCAGAGTCTGAAGGCTTGTTGTTTGGCTTGGAAACACAAAAGGAAATGTGTCCTTGTTCCCTGGGGAAACCATCTCATGACAAAGACAGCTTTGCTGGAAGTCTGCACAGCATCTATCCCATGGTGCTGAGGCAGCGGAGCTGAACCCAGAAGAGTTATATCATGCCTGAAATGTGCTTCTTTTCCCTGTGAAAATCAGCAGGGAAATAATAATAAAGATATTTCCTTGTTCCTGCAGGTATAGTGCATTTAATAAACCCACCTTTGCTCTATGGCGTCCATATGATATTTCAGTTCAAAGATGTTGACCAGCTCTCCCTAAGCTTGGTCATGGACCATCTCTTGTTTCAAGCAATGCTGCTATTCACGTATCTAGTAAATGCCAAGCCTCTCAAGTGGATGCACCTAAACTCCTAACACCAGTTATCAATGCATAAATCAGTGGCAGGGCAAGAGAGAGACCTACTGGGACAAAAGGGAGAGCAAAACCTGAATAGTTTCAGGCACTGCTCAGGCATCGAGACTTGGTTCTGCTAAAAACAGCAATGGCCACTGTGAAGCACAACCCCCACTGCCCCACAGCCCACAGGGTGAAAGAAGAATGAGCAAACTAAAAACAACCCTAAGGAAATCTCTACTTTCACTCTGAAAACACACCTTTCCCTTTCACTGAGCAGAGATGGCAGGAGGAATTTGTTTTTCCTTGCTAAAAGGTGAAACCAGTACTTATTTTAAGCAGGACTTTGAGCTTAGGGCTGGAGCCCTGTGGGGCTCTGACCAGGGGTAACTGGATTACTTGTTGCATGATGCAACACATCCCTGTTAGGTGCTACCAAGCAGTTCAAACAGACACTGGGTAAAGCAGGCCTTCATCAGAGCCTTCAGAGCAATTAGTAAATGTCATGGGAAGAATTGCAGTGCAGGACTACCAAGAAGTCATGCAGGACCAAAATTTACAAGCACATAAACATTTCAGTCATCACTTCTGCACCGTACCATGCGATTTATGAGACACAGAGAAAGCTGACAGAGGCAGGGGACAGGGAAACCTTACAAATATTTTTTGTATTCAAACAATCTGGATTTAAAGATGTTTTCAATCTGCACACACTTATTTTTCCCAGGATTATTCACATCCTTTCACTATGACAAGCTCTCATCAGTATTTTTTCCCCTATTGTTGTGAGGCACAGAGATCCTCAGCTGGAACAGCTGCACATGGAGGCAGAGCTACGTCTTACTAACAGTAAAGTCCTTTCCCTCTCAGCCCTGAGCACTGCTCCACAGGTTATACAGTAAAAGAAAGGATAGGAAATAGCAACACCCTCTTCTGATTGGAGGGAATTCATTTGGGAAACTTTGTGAAGTACTGGAACACACTGAGATTTCTGTTCCATCATTTATGAATGAGAAACCCTACTACCAGAGCACCTTTGGCTTCTGCAGATAATTATTCCCAGGTAAATGGCCTGCAGGGTATCCCAACACCATACAGGTGGGCATTAATCACCAGACAGTGTTTGCCTTTCAGATCTCAGGTGGATTTGTATACAGCATCCTGCAGCAAACACAGGGAAGTATAAAGCATGGCTGGCTCATCTGCTGCACCACGGCAAAGGAACCACAGAGTGTACTTGCTATAATCCAGAGCTAAAAAGCAATAATGCCACATAAATGAGCCACTAATAAGACCTGACTTATGTTGCTCTGCATGTCTCTGCATGGCATGGACTGAAGGGTCTGAGGTGATGGAGATCTTGGGTTTTCTACTCTTGTTCTTGTTGTTGCTGTCAGTGACACCTGGAATGTAAAGAAATGAAGTGACAGGGTCTCTCCCATCCCGTACGTTTCCGCAGGCCTCCCACTTCAGGGCATGCAGCTGTGACTCTTATCTGCAGGTGTTAATGACTACAGACTCCCTGGAACATGGTGTTAGATCCAGAACACTGAAGCACTAGAGCTTGATGCCTTCTCAAACCTTTGGCAACAACCTGAGAACTTAATCTGAATGTGTCACTTATTTTGTGCTCTGAAACACTGGGGGTTGGTTTCTTCTGGGCAGGGCTCCCTTCGGACTGGAGTACCATCATGTCGACAGACAGGCACCTTCACTAGAGCTCTGGAAAAGTGACTTTGTCATGCAGCTTGCACCACGTGGCCCAAAGCTAGCTAGAAGAGAGTGGGACCCTAAAGGTAATTCTCTGGTGGCAAAGCAAAACCTCACTTTTCAGTAAAATGCTGAGCTCCAAGCTAAGCTGTGCTTTGGCTCTCTAAGGTCAATGTCAGACAGCTCGTTATGTTGGGCATCTCTGTGTTAACTGAGAATGACTGAAATTGCTAAGTCTGCTTCTCATCCTTTCTGTATTACTTTGAACTGTACAAATGGCATCACTTGTTCTTTTCAAAGCAGCCTGTTGAAATGTGCCCCACCAAACTGAAGGGAGGTCTTGCCTAACTGCCCTCCTCATGCAGCAACAACTCTGAGAATGATGCTACTTTCAGTTCAATGAAGAGGAGATGATGCTCATTTGTTGATATTTACCTAGAATTTTACTCTTGTTTTTCAAAAGGGAGTATTAATATTGCAAATACTATTTACTCTAAGGAACCCACCACTATATTCCATATGTTTTATACAGACTAACACAGAGAATTAGCTCATCCACACAGTTAAAAAAATACTGACAGGAAATACACACACTTTATTACGAAGTGAACAGGTTTTCCCCTCAGTTTGTATGGTTTTGATTTCCTTATAAGTTATTTATTTAGTCATTGTAACTCTAAAAGTATACTTAAGCAAGCACATTCCTAGTCAGCAAAACTTATCTTTTAAAGTTCATTCCCATCTCCAGAAGGAAATAAATGGTGTTCACATTTCAGCTTAGACTATCTTCAAGTATCTCTGGCAGCAAGCCTCCCTTCTGCTGTAAATAAATTGTTGTACGATCAGCAAAAGGCAGTGTTTCAAGGCAGACATTGCATTTGGCAAGAACATTTAACAGTAATAGGATACAGCAACTATAAGGAAAAAGCCTTGTCTGAGTGCTACACAATTTCTCAGTGTCAACCTACATAAATGGAAGATCCTAGGTACTGTGCAGCCTCAGAACAAGTTTGCTTCTGCTTTACCTACAGATGTGATGTGAGAATCAGCTTCCATAGCTCTGGACACTGACCACCTAGGTGCCTGCACCTGAGCTGATCACCCTAAGCTCCTTTACAGGAGAGAAATAAACATCTCTGGGCATCTGACCCCTATTAGGCATTTATTTTTGGCTAAGATGAAAGGCTCTGGTTTCTCTCTACTGACTATAAGAGCTAATTTTCCCAGTGCCTTGTCCTACCACCGCAGGTGAATCCTGGCCATGCTGTCTTCTGCAGAAGCTCCCATGTTCCTGACTATCCTGCTCACTCAGTCTCAGCTGGCGAGCCTGCAGCACCTGCCTGTTTGGAGATGCCAAAACCATCCCTCGGCGGCTGCCGCTTAGCAGATGCAAGCATTGGCACATTGTGGACCAAAACAGCTCCCAAGAAGATCCCTTCCAGGCCTGATGTCACTGCACAGGGAGCCCTGACTTTTAACGTCTGCATTCTGTAGACAGTGCCTCTTTCCCCATAAAGATTCAGGGGTCTCTGTCCCCCGGGAGGGGGGGATGGGGGGGGGGGGGAACGGGACACAACAAACAAAGCCAGCCTAGGGCAAATCTGAAGCCCCCAGCGCACTCAGGAGGCCACCCACAGGAGAGCTGGGAATCTCTCCACCTGCCGCCCTGCTCCAGCTCTCCAGTTCTTCCAAGGTCCTAGCACACACTGGCACCCACTTGCCTCCTGTTGTGCCTTAATAAACTTCAATATCTGATGCCAACACTCCCACACTGAGCCCTGAATTGCACCTGCAAGCCCCAAGCTATTTCCACCTGGGTCTGCCTCGTCTGTTTAACTTCCAAGAGCTGGTGGAGTAGGACCAACCTCTTTAGTCCCTGATGTGGCAGACACTTACATGAGTTCTTAACTTAGCAACCAAGAACAGCCTCCCCAGCTCTCAAAATTACTCATTTTGATCAATCTAAGCACGTGTCATATGCCTCCAGAATTGGAGTCTAAACCCCATAAAACCCTGGCTGATTTGGAAATCTTAAATATTTTTCACTTCTGTGTCTACATGGACCTACCGTTCCAGTCACTGCTGTTCTCCCAAGTGCTCCCAGCAAGCCTGCACATTGTGGTAACCTTTTATTCCCCAACACATCATTGTCAGAAAGAGATAGGCAAAAAGATTCCCCCCCCCTCCTCTTCCCACTGAAAGAAGGAAACACCACCTTATACTCGTGTAAGTCACAGTAACATCAGTAGTAAAAGTAAGAATTGCAACAGAAGATGAGATGCTTTAAGTTACAAGTTTCTACTCTGCAAGCATGTATGAAAACTGGCAGTTCTGTGAATGTTTATTACGTGTATCTGACTAATTAATCCTCTGTGAACACAATCCCTGGGTTGCTTTGTACTGTTTACTGATCTCCGCTTTTCTTTCAGCCCCTCATGAACACAGTAGGATTTCTCTTCCATGGAGGGAAGAAACATCAATATCCAAACCAGAAATCTACCACATAAGTGTTAAAAGCCAAGATTTTGCCTTAAAATTACATGTTCTTAAGGAAAACTTTCCTCAGAGTTTCATATTTTTACTTTGAGTGGTAAAAACTGTTTTCCACTTTCTCTGTAGCTTTTCATCAATAGGGTCGTTTTGTGAAGCTCTGCACTAAGCTCTGTTTGATAAACCACATTACTCTATGGCTGTGTATGTTTATACATATGCATATATTTATATATCTTTTCAAACGGAACCAGTGGACAGCTGTTAAACAGATGTGTAAGCACTTCTGCTATGCAAATGTAGATTACTCACCTCAAGTGCTGGTTAAAGTAGCATGTAAAAGGTTGTGAACCCACTTTCTTCTTCCAGTATTTCTGCTTGTACGTGACGTTCTCAGAGTTCTCCTGATCGTCTCTTGTGCAGGGAGGGATGTATGAACACTGCCAACACACATTGCAAAACAGAGTTATTTCTGCGTTCAGGAACACAGGACATCACTCTCTCTGCATTTTCCTCACAATAACAGTGTGACCGAAATGAGCAAAGAGTAAATTCAATCTTTAGTGAAACAGAAAAGGTAGTTGAACTTTACTTCAATTGCTAGTTACTCCGTGCAGGTACTGGAAAAGAATATGCCACCATTCAGAAAGAAAATAAAGGCTTTATCCTCTTTTGTTCCGTTATCAAACCAACCTGCCACATAATACCTTGGGGTTTTGTGTGGTGAATGTAAAAATGATCATTTAATTTTGACGTATTCCTAGTCAGCACATGGATTAGATTTGAATTGCTTCCTAGCTTCAGTGAGGCACATAATTGCAAGGTTTTTTTACCACCATGCTAATAACCAAAATATTCCATCAGGCTTTCCCAGATGATGGAGTATCTGATATGTGGCTGGTATCCACTTGCAAAAGACAAGTATTCTTGCACTGTTACAACATGGGGAAACAAGCAGAGAAAGCTCAAAGCCCCCCTTCAGCACAAAGGATCAGCAGATTCAACAAGGGTTGAACGTGCAGCTGAGCTATCTCCAGATCTCACCCTCAGACATCTGCTTCAAAGCCCAAAGAGATCAAGGGAAGTTCCTGCCCTGCCTGGTGCACTTGGGGCTGGGTTTTCAGAGACTCCACTCTGGGTCACACACAACGCACACACCTTGTTTCCATGTCACGTCTTTGACACACCACCCTCCCTCCTAGCCACAGGGAGTTAAACAAGAAAAAACAGTCCACTGAATCCAGTGTTGGCAGTTGCACGATCTCACTGACCAAGCACAATCCCTCCTATTTTTCCCAAGCATTGGTACAGGAGAGCATTACAGGAGATGTTGAACAAAACTGAATAACACGGCTTAACTGGTCCTTGGAGCTTTTCACCCTGGAGGACACATGGACAGCAAGACTCCAGGTGCACACACAGATTTTTAATTCCTTTAAAACTGGGAGCTGCAAGCAGAAAATGTGTCTGTGAAGGTAGCTGAAAAGTCTCTTAAGTAGGATGAGGAAGCAGGAGGTGCAGGGGAAGCCCCTAAACGGATCTCCACATATGATCACATGAGTTTCTTCATAGTACCCTGAAGGCAATAACAAGTAGAGAGATACCCTCTCTAACCTGAAAATAAAGATAAACATGACTCACTGTGCCTGCTAGTGCTTCCTCTCCCTCTCCATCTGGTGAGATAACACAGGGGCCTACCGTGTCCCACACTGCATGCTGTACCCAAGCTGTACAGACCTACAAGTCCATCTCCACCATACAACAACTAGAATCTTCACCATTCCAGGGGAAGGGGAGAAATACCAGGATCTTATTGGCCTGATCATGTAAAACCTGACCACTTCTGTCAGCACTTACAATGCTGCCAACAGCTTCCATGCTTCAGACTAAAAGAATTCACAAGGTCCTGCTTGTGGCTTCCACGGTGAAATTTCATATACAAGGGCCCCTGTTTTCACACAGGCCCACATCGGGTGTTGCCATGGCACAAAGCTCCCTTTAGATCCCTATCCAGATGACCCTGAACGAGGATTGTCCCACTGCTGATCACAAAGGACAGAAAAGGAGCAGCAACACCACTCTGCTCCAGGAACCACAACACAGGATTTGTCACATGCATTCGTTTCTGTCTTCAATAATATTCCTTAGCTGGCAGTGGTTTTAGTTTGGTTGTGTACTTTGGAAGCATCAACCACACTCCTCTTTCCTCCATGCTCCCAGTGCACAAACACATCTATGCAGCAGCTGCATGGAGTCAACAGATTCTGCACGCTTCCCTCTCTCCTCTCCAATGTTTCTTCCTCGTGGCTGAGCTTACTCATCCTCTTCTATGAAAGTGTGACCACCCCACCTCTCCTCTGCTGGCCAGACTTTCTCTGTGTCTGTCAGAGACCTTCCCCCTCCCTCAAATTGGGACAACAGTGAATAAGCTCTCTGCAACTAAAACTTCATAACACTTTTTGCACAAGTAATTCCAATGACAGCTAACAGAAACCGTGCTGGATTCATTCCCTTCTGTTCCTTTTTATCGTCATGTGGAAAACACGAAAGAGACATCCAGGGGCTTGCCCTAAAACAATGAGTCCTCCTTGCTTGAGCCTGTAGAAGATTAACAGTCTTGAGGAGAGAAGTGGTCCCTGCTCAAGGTGAAATCTTCATTATATGAATCCCAAGGGTCACCCTGAAACATCTTGACGTGATGAAGGATTCCAGCCACAGTGAACACCCAAGGTCCAACTCCACTGTACTGCACAAACACTGGAGTTTGTTTTCTACCCCAGGAGGCCAGCACAGTTCCCACCAACCTGACATCCATTTTGGCCCTTTCCGATCCACATGGGTAGTGGACCTCTCTTTTCTCAGCCTCCCAAGCATGCATCTTGGAGACTTTGCTTGACCAACTGTATCACCCTCCAAAAACCTGGCAACTTTTGCTGCCATGAGTTGGCGGGTGAACCTGAAACGACCTCCTGCTTTGGCAACAAGCAGTTTCTGAAAGGTAAATTCTGCAGTCCTCCCCCAAGAGACACAGCATGAAATCCTGCCATCAAAACATGAATAAATGCCAAGTGTTTGAAAGCAAGCTGGGCTGCCTTGTGCTCAATCGCAGCTCATGCAGCAGCGTCCATTTTCAGTTTAAGTGTTCCACCCTGTATTCCTTTGATTTATTTCCCCCTCCCTTGAACAAGTTACAATGAAGTTGGAGAACAGCTCTACAGATCAGACATTCAGAATAAATCTAATGGAGCTGAGGTCTTTTCAGCAGACCTATTGGCTCACAGTGCTGTAATCGCACCTCCTACGCTATGTCATAGCAACGATAAAATTATTATGTAATTCAGATACAGTCTCAATTACACAGCTCAAAATCGTTATCAGGCTAACAATATTCTCCCTTCAATCAGAGCCAGTGTTTGGATAGAGGAGTCAGGATGTAATTCAGTAAAAACGTCAGCGAATAACTAATATACTTTTACACTGAGGTTTTGTAAGATCTGTATCTGTGTTTGCTGCTGGATGCTGCCACACCAGTGTCTTTGCAGATGCCTAGGAAGAGTCCCGGTCCTCCTGACCCCTTCATCAGAGCAGACATTCTTCCATATCATAGTGAAGAGATGGAGGCATGAACTCTTGACCATGGTTTAGCATCCAGGTTGTGTCTCATGCTTTTCAAAGCAATTCAATCACATTTTTATGAAAAAGAAGTCAGGCTTGGTAGGCTCTGAGGGAAGCTGCCTCAATCCTGGAAGGCACTATCAGAAGACAAGACCAAGAATGTCCCAAATGCAAATGCACGTAAGAGCCCAAAGTAGAAGCAAGTCAGCCCATCAGAAGACAAAGCGGTTGCACTAAGAAGAAAGTCTTCAGCCTCAGCTTCTCCTAGCTTTGTGTGTGAGCATCTCTGCATCTTACTGGCTTATCTTCATGGACTGGAAGGGAGGTAGTGCTGCCACAGCCATCCCACCATAGCAGAAGATGAGCAGGGGGACTCACTCCATAACTGTAAAAAAAAATGCCTTCTCCCAGCTGACTGACCAAGGGAGCTGGAGCTGAGTAACGCAGCTGCTTTTCACCTGCATCCATCAGCACAGGAAAACCCACCAGGAGTGATCACAGAGGCTCAAGGCAGAGAGAGGCACCCCCAAGCAAGACATGAGGGTGGTGGGATTTATGGGGTTTACCTAAAAAACTGCTGGCAGCATCTGCAGTGTTTGCCTGCCAAGGGCACCAGCCAAAACACAGAGCTGGTGCTTCACCAGATGCACCAGACCCTCATGAAATTGCTGTAGAGCTGGGCATATTTTGCTATTAAACCTCCTCCAACATGGGCCATACTTAGGAGAATCCAAAACCCCAAACGAGTTCCATTTACAAGTGCACAGAAGCAGTAACAGTACATCATCTTGTCAGGGTGGACAGATACAGACAGAAGTGAGGCAGGAGCAGGCACAGATGTGGAGCACAGACAAGGAGCTGCAGCTGGCTGCTCTGCTCGCCTGCCCAGGGATGGAGACAGGGAGAACCGGGTCCTGCTGCACAGCTGCTAAGATCAGGCTCACCAGCCACTGCCTAAAGGTTTCTCAACAGAACAGTGGGCAGGTTCTTCCAGCCCTACACTTAACTTCATGCGCAGAGAGGGAAAAGTCTAAGAGCCAGAGAACAGATATTTTGAGAAGCTGATGTGCCCCCCTGTTATTTTACCCAGCCAAACCCGTAGCCTGATCCTTGCACTAGCTGTGTGTGCTGCCAAGGGACGTGATGGCCAGAATGATAGCGACAAATTGACTTTGGAATTAATCCCCCTTAAGCCTTATCTCGGAGATTATTATTGCTATGAAGGCATCTGAAGAAAGGCACCATCACTCCACTGAAATTCCTTCTTTTGAGACAACAAGGAAAAAAAAAAGGATTCCTCAAATCACTGATACTGGATACAAATGTAATCATGCCCGCTGCTTCATACATACATTTCTGGATTAACTCTGACCCAGCTATATATAATCTTTTAAGAACTAAAATGAATCCTAGGCTGTACAATGATGTGATTAGGAAGCAAGCAAGAAAAATAATTAATTTCTTTTCCCTAGGAGCTAGACCTCGCTGGAACAGCCAGATCTGAGCTGCCAATGTGGTTATGCACCAGCCCACCGCTACAGAAAGTAGGAGAATTTGAGTCCAGCACACTGGGGACTTTTGGAGCAGAGTTTAGCTGCCAACTGATTCAGTATTGTGTGTTGTAAGGAGCCTGAGCTACGCTTTTCCTGTGCTATTGATTTACAAGAAGAAATTGCTACCCACAAAGAGAAGCAGCTGAACAGTGTAAAATTTGAACGCCGTTCAAAACAAAATTGGTCTTTTTCTTCAATTCCAGTTAATTGGAGCTGATCAGCGGGTTGTATGTCTAATCGCATGAACAACCAAGTGTGCTGCAAGAAGGCGATGGGCACAAGAAGGGTTAAATGGCTCCCCTTCAGTGTTCATTCATAAACACAGACTGGATTCCAAGCATTAAATCCAGCAGATTCCTACTCTGTTGTTATGGCTGACCTATTTCAGGATGAAATCCTGAGAGCTTTTAAGGACGGTGTGACTTCAGGACAAAAATTAAAAGGAGAATCATCTCCACAGACATTAAGTGAGAGAAAAGAAAAGAGAAAACCAAAGCAGCAGCTATGCATGCTTCATTCCCTTAAAAGGGTATGTTTTCCTAATGAAACCTAAATAACTTTTCTTTTTATTCTATATTGGGTTTACATAAGCTTCTTAAGGTAAGGAAAAAAATTGGAGCACACTTTTTTTCTGTGTTGTTTTCCACTTAGTTAAATTCAATTACTACCAGAAAATGCGGTTACATCAAAAACCGCATCCTTTCTGCTTGGTCTCATCTGGTAAATCAGATTTAATCCTCAGCAATCAATATCCCAGCGTAAACAACCAACACCTAGAGATGCAAGGTGCAAGCTAGGCCAAACGGGTTGGATTTGTAAGAGCGTGCAAGCGCTACGCGCTGCCAACACACAGCCCTGTGTTTATTAATTGTTAAATAAAATATAGGCTTCTGAGTGACATTTGCGGGCATGGCTTGAAGCTCTGGGTGCCTCTCTGCAGAAACTGCAATCCAGCCCTGGGAAAGGCACAATCCTCCTCTTCCCACCAGACTTCCAGGAAGGCAGGAGAAGTAAAACCAAACCAAAAACTCCCCGACTACTCAGACAGACATGGCAGTCAGAGCCCAGTTTGGATGCCTGTGCTGAAACTAAGGATGCACAGGAGCTGTGAGTCCAGGCGTGCTGGTGGCACTGCTTACCCCCATCTCCCATATAAAGGGTGGCTTTTCTCCTGCATTTCACCACCTACCCGCTGCCTGCCTGAAGACTGAGAGAAGCTGAGGGAAGTACTGGTGCTGGGGCAGCTCATGATGCGTGTTTCCATAACCACAGCTCGCTCTGTGGAGCCTGGCAGCAGCATCCCCAGGGAAAGGTGAAGTTTGAAAAGTTCCCAAACAGGCCGATTCATCCACTTTGCTACCAGGCACCATCCAACTTCACTGCTCACCACTTCTGAATGGTGTCAACAATTTAACCCAAATCCTGTCACATCCTGCTTCTCACTCTGTTGATTTTTGCCCCAACCACCCTTCCGAGCCCATAAGCTGCCAAGGGGAAAAAAGCAACCCGTAAAACCCAAGTCTGTGACTTAATCCAAGAGACAGATCCACACCAGTGTAATTGTGACTGTGGAGGTGTGAGGCAATGCGCCCCAAATTGGACATGGAAGTCTGCTGCCCAGCCCCTGTGCACAGACCCCTGTATCGTGCTTAGCATGGCTCTTGGTACAGCGCTACAGCCATATCTCGGTCAAAGAGATGAAATTTCCTTTTCCAACACACTCCTGGTTTCAGCTTCTTTCAGGAGGTGGATTCTTTCTGGAAACTACCGAACTAAACCTGCCCCACTCAGGCAGCATGCTGGCAAAGTGAGCTGTACCGAGCATGAAAAGAAAAAGTAGAAAGCAGACTAACTACCTTTAAAGACAGAAAAAGCACAAGTCACAAGCTGCCTTCAGACTACCCTGGTTTGCTGGAAGATGCAACTTTAAAGATGCTTCCATTTGGTCTGTTTTCATGTGGGTGGCAGAGAAGTTTAAGAATCAAAACAGCACCAAGAAAACTTCTGTTCCAGCACAGCCTCTCCCCAGCGCCCCATCTGCAGCTGCTTGATTACAATTTCAGCTTGAGCCCTGGAGAGCGGCTCTGGGAAGCCCCTCACCCTGTGGGACACCCAGAGCCACAGCGTCAGGCACTGCTCGGGCAGACCTCCCAGTCAGCAGCAAGACTTTCTCCCTGGTTTCGCACCAGCATCCCAGCGGGATGCACTCAGGGAGCCTGTGGGCTGGGGCGGCACCGCTCCCATGGCTGAAAGGAAGAGTTGGGTCTGGGTCTGCTTCAGGAAATAGATGTATGGATATACAGATATCTATACTGATATAGATAGATATCGAGATATATATAGTTATAGATACAGTTAAATAGATGCATATATATATATCTAGATACAGATATATAGTTACACACATATTTATATAAAGATATGTATATATAAAAATATATATACATAGTTATATATAGAGATAGAGGTATAGACAGTGTGTATATAGACACCCTGTATGTACACACACCACCACATATATATACATGCATACCATGCATAGTATGTTTTCATATATAAATATATGTACTTCTTGCTAAGTAACAGTGCAGGGACATTTACGGGGGATGCCCTGTGACTTCATCTATCCCCCCATCAGTAAAAAACCCGCACCCGAACGGAGAGCTGTTTGAGGGGACCCTCGGGGGCAAGTCGGGCACAAGGAGCAGTGAAGGAGCAGTGAAGGGGCAGTGAAAGGCGAAGGGGGCAGGATTTGCCCCTCGGGACGTATCCCTATAACCCCCCTTATCCCGCATTTTGGAAGCGCGGGTCTCACCTTGGGGTTGGTGCGGAGCTGCCGCTCGTCCTCATGGAGCAGGGCGGGCGCTGGGGAGCGGGATGTGCGGACCAGGACCTGCAGGCAGGGGTACCGAGCCGTGCCGCGGCAGGCGGCCCCGCAGGAGAAGGTGCAGGCGAAGCGCTCTCCGAGCTGCCGCACCGCCAGCACCGTGCAGTTGGCGGAGCCGCCGCCGCCCCGCTCCTGCAGCGCCGGGCGCAGCCAGCAGCACCCCAAACCCAGCAGGGACAGCAAGCCGGCTGCGATGAGGAGGAATCCCAGCCGCATGCTCTTGTCCTCCGCCTCCGTGTACTTGTAAACCACCCGGCTCCTCGCCATCGCCCCGTTGCCGCTGGCATCCGCCGCCGGGCAGCCGCTGCCATCGGCTAAAGCTCCCGCCGCTCCCCGCCTCCATCCCCGCCTCCTGCAAGGATGAGGAACCCACGGGGGGTGGCTGTGCGTGCAATCACCAGGCGAAAAACACACCCAAAACTCCCTGGATCCATAAATAAAACCCTAATGTAAACCCGCTTGACCTAATTCAGGACCCTCCGGGAGTGGAAGGGACAGATTGCAATGGGATTAAACTGGCATGAAGATTTGCTGTGGTCCGGATTAATACTGGTTGCTGTGTAGGGTGCAATATCTAGAGAGGGGTGGGCAATACCTAGAGGGGGGGGAGGACGGGTGAGGGGGGTGCCGAAACACACCCTAAGGTGCATTTTGGCTCCCCCCCTTCCCTCCCCCCCCCAGAAGCCAACATCCCCACACAGGGTGGTTGTAGCATCCTGGCATGTAAATCCAGTTGAATAAAATCACAGCTTGAAACAGGCCATGAAAACAGTCTGTCATTCCCAGTTCTCACTGCCGACTTGGTTAAGTCCTGAAGAGCCCATGTGAAACCCTACTCAGCAGCCCCATATGCCAAAATCTGCAGAGGTCTCTATGCATATAGAGTCAGACCCGAAATTAAAGATCTAGAAGTGAAAGAAGAAGCTGCTTTTTTCACCTTATTAACCAAGAAGGGAAATAACAGGAGTTTGTCCAACTTTAGGGATGAAGGACAAGTGCCCTACTCTGTCCAGCCCCAGATGCAGCATCCACATAGCAGGGACAAACCCAGGCTCTTTCATGGCTGTTTGAAGATAAGTGAGCAAGCAAGATGAGAGCTGTCACAATGTTTTATATAGGAATTTTGCAAATGCTCTGGTTATTACTCAGCATTTCACACTGTGGTGGCAAAACAACAGAACAAGCTCCTCAGTGCCAGAGCACCATAAGCAATAGTAATATTTTTATTCTGTAGTCTTTAGCATAGGCAATTAAGTAGAATAAAATGTGGCAGTGTTGGAGCCTATAGCTGAGCTAGATGATACAGCAAACAAGAGGGTACAGAAAGAACACTAAAAGAAGCATGGGAAACGGCACATTCCTCTGGCCACCTTTTCCCATTGCTTTCCCACTGCAGAGTGAGACGTCAAACTTTTAAAAATAAAGTTGATCCATAGGTTCTCCAAATGGACTATTGAGCAACGCCTGGCAGGAAGGCTATTAAGGATCCACACTGTGACGTGAATATAAATGGATGCAAACATTGTCCTTGGTTGCACCAGTGTGCTATGGCGCTGCCCTCGGGCTAGCTACTCTGTAGCAGCCTTTCCTAACACCAATGGCTTTCACAAAAGGTATGCCAGCAATAAGTGTTTTTATTTGTACTTAAACCTGCCATAGGTTTTTATATTAAAAACTGAACTCGTCTTGGTTAGTCATTGGCTCTGTGTATCCATTCCATCAGTCAGGCTTTGGCTGCCAGCGCTGGGGCGATGACAGTCTCTGACGCTGGGGCTCGCTGTGTAGAGATTTCATATTATAAACAATGAATTTTTAATCAGGTAGATTTGTTGCCTGACACCTGAAGGAAAGCTCCAGCCCTGCTTTCCCTGTCTAGATGGGCTGACTTCTCCTTTTTCTTGCCTTCTGAACAGCTGGTGTTCAGTACTCGGTTTAATTCCTTGCTGTCCCCTGTACATAAAGTGCTGTCAGTCAAAAATTAACACAACAGATCACTGGGTGAAACAGTAACCTTGAGAGATAGTCCTCCTGCGTGCGTCCAACCCCTACATCATCCGTAGTCAGAGGAGATGCTGAGACTGTATTTTGACTGGGGATGGATTTTAACGTTCACTGGGTAATCTCATCGGTTTTGAAGTTCTGCACTGAACTTCATGGCTCAAAGGCTGTTTGAATCAGTTCAAAGAGAAAAATGATCATTGATGCTTGATTTGTCAGAGAGCAAAGCTGGGTACTCGGGGCCTGTTGTGAAGATTTTAGCGCTGCTATCACCTGTTGAGGGCAGGAGTCAGGACACAGGCTCCACGACTATGGGCTGCATCAGGAGCATACAGGGTAGATGTTAAATGCCCAGATGAACTTTCCAGCAGCAGGGTAGCAGGTTGCTACCTGCTTTTACGTGCCCTTTCTTGACCCATGACCAAGGGGCAGGCTAACCTGTGGCCTGTTGTTGATCACCCACCTGAAGGCAGCTTGTACCGCCCATGGCAAGCATGCCTCCGCCTTTGTCGTGTACCTCGAGGCTGGACAGCCCCTCGGTGGTGTCTGTTACCCCTGACATGAATGGGCTCACACATCCCCGTTTCCTCGCAGAAGTCTAGCAGTTGTCCTCATGATGTTCATTGTGGAGCTGCCTCTCCCTGTCTTCCATGAGAGTGCCTTTTTGAATAGCAAATACATATATATAACAAAATGCTTTTTTAAAACACTGTGATGCCCATCAGAAAGCAGACTGGTCTTCAAAGGGAGATAGAGCTGGCTGGTAGAAACACACCTAGGGGCAGAGGAACTACCAAACTTGCCCTTTTGTCCAAAAGGGAGAACTGTAGGGGAAGCTGAGAAGTTTCCACAGAATGACATCCATGCCTGCAGCAGGCCAACCAGCTCTGGATGCCTGTCTTCCCTTCCCCTTTCTTCACTCCTCAATAGGACTGTTTCACAGGTGATGCAGGATGGTGCCGTGGTGAAAATCACTTCACTGGATTGCTTGTTAAGCCAGAGGGAGCTCGAAAAAGTGGTTTCGCAGAAAAGTATTTTGTCAGTTTCAGCAGGAAAACTGTGATGTATCCCCACATGCAGTATAGGCATATTAAGACCAAAGGAATATGAAATGCAAACAATAAAGCAAGTCTAGGAAAATAGTATACAATCTCAGTTAGTGCTGCTAATTCTAGAGTGGGATGAATCAGTAATATTAAAAACTATGTTTGATGTGCCTTAACATTACATTAAAGAAAATAAAGTTCAACTCAACAGTAAACTCGTTTTAAGAGGTAAACCTACCAAAGTAATGCAAACTGCAATTCCAAAACAAGCCATGCAGCTGCATTTCCTCTGGTCTTTTAAACTTACTAGAAGCTTTCACATTTGTGGAAATGAGAGCAGAGAGAAGAGAAATGAAAACAGCTACACCATTTTATTTCTCATACCATAGGAAAATCCTGCTAAGCATTTAGTCTGTCAGCTCAGACTAGCTGCTTAGCCCAATCTGCATGCTTCACCAGAATTCAACTTCTCGAGCATCATTTTTAAGCAGTGGCGAAGTTTGAAGAACCACAATGAAAGGAATAGCAATTGAAAACTAAGCACACTGGTTTTAATAGAAGCAGTTGTTATATTTAGGCTCTTTACTCAAAAGAACTGTCTAGCTACCTCATGTTTAGGATGACAACTGTGCATTTAGAAGCTCTTCGTAACTGTGACAGATAGCAATCAAATTTTCTTTTTGATTCAAGTCAACATCCAGCCATGGAGGTACTTTCAATCACAAGATACAGGGAATGAATTAAAAAAACACAAACCCTAAAATATGTTCCTACTAGGTGACAAGTATCTTTGAAATTACATTGTTTAGAAACTGAACACCCTTCTTCAATAGACATGGCCACCTACGAGCCATGCAGGACAGAGCTGACTGCCCCATAGATCTCCCATTTCCAAGGTTGTGCCAAAGGTAGTTTCTGGTCTCTTTAGGGCCAACAGAGCCCCTCAGCATTTTGCACATGATTTTGCACCACTACAATGCAGTTCTTATTTTGGGTACATTCTTAGTAATTTTTCATAGAAACTGTAAAATTGAAACGGAAAAGTACAAAAAATACTGTCTTAAGGATAGAGAGGATTTCAGACATAGCCAACAGCTAAGTGATAAGATTATACCTCTTTGTGCCGTACAGATGCACGTCCGTGAAAGAGTGGTGTGGTCAGTCATGAATCCTGACACATGCAGCCGACACTTAACGGAGTCACAGTCACACGCAGTTTTCATCCATGTGAGTATCTGCAGGCTTCCCTGGATTGCTTAGGTCTTCAATTGGATTAATCAAGCCCATGAAGGTTTTCACATGCTTAAGTACTGGTGGCACCAGGTACTAAGGCAGAGGAGGTTGCCCTGGGTGGTTTTTTATTTGCTCATTTTTAAACACCCAGGTGTAGTGTCCTTACTGCCTTCTTCCATGACCCCCTAGTCATGATTTCCCCACAAGCTGGGTGGCTTAAGTAACACTATTAAAAGAACTGCAAGTGCTTTCTGCAGTATTGGGGGATAATCAAGTGGGTGAAACCCACTGTAACCCTGAAAATTCAGCGCAGTGGACTGCCAGAGAAAGTAGAACTAACCATTCAATAAACAAATACACAGTAAGGAGCAATAACTATGAGAGTGTGTTAATCAGACCAGAAACAGAAATACTTCTACTTGTTTCCAAGAACACCGAGGTTACTACTCAGAACTTACCTCGCATGTTGTCGTACAATGCTGTAATTATGGCGAAAGAACCCACCTCAAATAAATGTATTCTTAAAACAGCATTTTGCTCTCTCCCCTTATTAATAGCTTTAGTGCAATGTAAAAACATAAACTAAGCCTCAGACCTTCATTGACAGTGCTTGAGAATCCGCAGGTCAATTCAGGTGTCATGTGTGTAAGGCCTGAGGTTTTCTTCTTCTCAGAAAATAAAGGCAGTATGGGTTTTCTTTTCTTTTTTTATTACTGTGGTATCAACTAAGAAGTGTTTCCCATTTTACACCTGGTTTTCTGTTTAAACCTCTCTCCTGCTTCAACCCAAAGTGTAACATGAAACGAAGTCACATCTTTTAAAGTGTCCATATATGCGTATTTAATCAATAAAGGAGAGCCAGAGTGTTCTTCCCCTTAGAAGGGGCAAGTCCCCAGCTCCTTGCTCACAGGTGAGAAGTTTGCTAAAATCAAGCATCTTGCATTTTGGACGTATCATGCAGCTGAATACAACTGTATCATCCAAGTAACCTTTTGGAGAACTTAAATTCCAAATTCCAGCTTTTTTAAGTACCATAGGCATTTAGTAGTGTAAGTTACATGAAAAAGGGCATCTTATCTT